CCTATAACAGGGTCACTATGGGGTTTGAACTGCAAGGTCAGTGGTTCAAGCTCACCAGCTGCTCCTTAGAAACCCTATAACAGGGTCACTATGGGTTGGAACCAACTTGATGGCATTTAACAACAACAGTACCAGGGTTTCAAGGAGCAGCTGGTGGATTTGAACCACCAGCCTTTCAGTTAGCAGCCCAGTGCTTATCAAATAGAAATGTATTCTCACGCACTTTTGGATGCTAGGAGTCCAAATTCAGAGCACTGGCACTGGAGAAAGGCCCTTGTCTCCTGTCAGCATATATAGACCCAGAATTCCTTGGAGATGTCTCCATGCATCTCAGCATCAGTCTGTCTCTGGATCTCGGAGCTTCACAGTACAGGGACCTCAGATCCAAAGGACGCCCTCTGCTGCTGGCTTTTCTTTCTTAGTGGACATAGTAGGTCCCTCTCCTTGAACTTTTTGAAGCTCCCCCGTCCCATATATATATAGTGTGTTGTTGTTGTTATGTGGAGTCGTTTCCAACTCATAGCGACCCTGTACAGGGTTTCCGAGGTTGTAAATCTTTACGGGAGCAGAAAGCTTCATCTTTCTCCCATGGAACAGCTGGTAGTTTCGAACTGCTGACCTTGCGGTTCGCAGCCCGATTTGTAAACACTACACTACCAGAGCTTCTTATATAGTGTGTTAGTTATTGTATTTTTTGCATTTAATGTGCCCATGTATATAATGAACCACATGTATGTAGCATACATAGGAAACTAATGCAAGAGAGTAAAATGCAGGAAACTAATGAAGAAAGTAAAATGCAGTTTGTAAAAACTACATATAGCTCATACATTATTTGTATAAAAATATGACACTAAAATCATATGCATGTTGTAGAATAGTCTGCTCTGGAGATTGTTTCATAGAGATTCTCCCTGATCTCTGTATGGTATTCCACTGCACCAGTGTGGCCCATGATCATTTCCACCACTTCCCTGTTGGTGGACACTCGGTGCCTCTGTCTTACAGTACTGTGAACAGAGTTGCAGTCAGCATCTCCCTGTGGGTTTTGGTTTGGGTTTTTTGGCACATTCTTGAATATATCTGTTCTGTAGAATAAATTTCTAGTAGTGGAGTCGTTGTGTCACAGGCTGTATGGAGTTTTGGTTTTTAGAGCTGTCCCCAGATTGACTTCCAAAGCCTGCATCCCAGCTCAAGCACCCAGCGCCAGTGCAAGGGCCTGATTCCTTTCCCACAGCAGAGCTCTTTGGCATGCTGATAGATTCAAACACAAACGGCATCTCAAATGGTGTTTTAATCTGTAATTCTTTACTTATGAGTATGGTTGAGCATCAGAATATGTTCCTTTTTCTTCAGCAAACACAGGGAGATCAGAGCATGTGACTCCAAGAATTGTCACTTTTCCTCCTAACTTCCTTATCATAGCTTTTACCTCTAAAGCGCCTGTGTAAGCAGCAACCGCAACTCAGGGCAACATTAGACCTTTGACCATGTATTTATTGAAGAAAATTCTGATACTTCACAAAAAGTTCCCCAAGCTGTGCTTGGTTTAGCTCAAACTTAGTAGCTGGTGGCAGTGGCAGAAAGCTGCCTCCTTGGGCCCTGGAGGGAGACGTTTGCTCTGCTGAGTGCCAGCTCTGCAGGGAGACTGTATCTGCTGATGAAAACCCTGCTTTTTGTCTCTTTGTTTTGCAAAAGATGCACTCAACTAAACACAAAAGTGTCCAAACTCACCACTGAGCTCAAAGAGGAGCAGGAAATGAATAAGTGTTTAAGAGCCAACCAGGTGCTCCTGCAAAATAAGCTGAAGGAGGAGGAGAGAGTGTTGAAGGAAACCTGTGACCAAAAAGACCTGCAGATCACCGAGATCCAGGAGCAGCTGCGTGATGTCATGTTCTACCTGGAGACGCAACAAAAGATCAACCACCTGCCTGCTGAGACCAGGCAGGAGATCCAGGAGGGACAGATCAACATCCCCACGGCCTCAGCCGCCAGTGCCCCCTCCTCAGGGGCTAGTGGGAAGCTGCCCTCCAGGAAGGGCCGCAGCAAGAGGGGCAAGTGACCTTCAGAGGACAGATGGCCCCAGACGGTGTGCTGGAATTTTCAGGTGAATGTGAGGGGACCCTGACTAAGGCGAGGGTGGAGCAGCAGTTGTTTGGATCTTTTCTTTCGTAGGGTGCGGTTGACAAGTGTAGCAAGCTGGGGTGGTGGAGAGCTGATGGAAAGGGGCACTGTTGTAAAAGGTGGCTGTGTTCTTCCTCCACCAGAGTTCCCTAACTTCAGACACTCTGACAACCAGATTGCCTTCCTACCTGGTAGATGCCCCACCACGGCTGTGCGTTGTATTAATGACTGAGTGGGATTGTTTGACACTCAGTTCTGGGGTCAGTTTAGACTTTTTTTTTTTTTTCTTTCTGGTCATCTTTAATATACCTCGCACGCAGAACCAAACCTCCCTTAGATTTTAGCACTTGCTCAAATTGTAGAGGTTCCCATTGGACATTGAGATATTAGGACAGCTCACTAGCATTGGTCTCCTGTCAGTCATCCAGCCAGTTCCTCTGGGGACTTGAATTGTTTGGATGCTTTTGGATGAGGCTGGGCCTGTAAACAATTGCACTGGCTTGCTACCAACAGCCATCTCTTCCCGGTTCTAGGGCTAGCCAGGAACAGCAACAGCCTGGGGCCAGAGTTGACCCAGTGTTGGGACAGGGGACATGTCCACTCTGTATTTTGAGTGACTGTATGCCTTCTTGGGAACCTCAAATGAGGAGGCATAACTGTGGCTATAAGACTCAAATTTCAGAATTGATTACGTAGTATCAGTAGGAAGCGGGGCAGATATGTCATCCATGTGAAAATGGCAAGCAAGTCCTTTGACCAGCTGATTGTGTCCTTTGCTGGGATCAGTAATTTTGGACTGTTTACAAAAGATTCTTCAGGGCAGGACCGTGCTTGAGGGTGCTTTGGCAGTTCTCCAGTGATGGCTGTCAAGATAGAACCAAAGGCAGTTTCATAACCTGAAAAGGAGAATTGTAACAGCACCCCCTTCCACCCTCCCATGCAGTGCTTGTGGCAGGCCAACATGGGCTATACTGCTTCTTGGCCCATCCATAGCACCTAACTTGTAAGACTCAGGGAGTGAGCAAAACTAAAGGAGGACCCAGCTGGGAATTAAGCTTCCAGAAGCAATAGCTGGACAGGTTAATAAAGCATTGTGTTAAATGATGGGGGGTTTTTCTTCTCCTTCTTTATAATTAGCCAGTTTTCAAATGGACACATTTCAGGATTGTTTTTTTCAGCTTGTCATTGGGCCTCAGCTCCGTTGACCTCTGTCTTAACGCGCAGCTTCTTTATGCCCCAATGCGTGGTCACCCCCATCTGTTTCCGTGGGAGGAGCTGTAGCATCTCCCAAAGCACCTTAACCTACAACCTTGCAAAGCAATGCACTACACATTCTCGATGATTTTCATGGTGGGGACAGCAATTCAGTACATCTCCCTCAGACTGCTACACAGACATCTTAAAGCAAGAGTGGGGTGTCAAGCATAACTTAATTCTCTTTCCTATAGAGATTCTATTTTATTTAATATCTATTTTTACACTAGTTAGATCGCTGCTCTTCTGGCCAACTGCTTGTCTTGCATGTCTGACCTTGCAGAAGCTTGGGTAGATCGTAGCATACTAATGACGAGAACTAGAAGCCGTTTTCAGAGCTGGCTTGTTCCTTGTTTCCAGTGATCGCCTCCACTACCAGCTGGGAGATTGGAGGTTTGCAGCATAGGTGAGGTAAACGTTCTGGAAGTCTGCAGTCAGAGGAACATGCAGACGGGCACATGTTTCCAAGCTGCTTGAAGGTTAAGGGAAAAGAACAAAACCTCAAAATCTCATTGAGCTATGTAAAGACTTATGTTTTACTTTGTTTGAAAAAAACGATCATAGAGTCCTGTGCTTTGAATTTGACACCATTTTATTAGATCAGAACAGGTGGTATTTTCTTCAGGATGGAAATGAACCACTTGACATACCCATACTACCTGGAACAATGAAATTATATTAAAGTAACCAAACTTTGAAACAGTTCTACCCTGTGTGAAATTTGTGTCTCTCTAGTTAACATTTGCACAGGACCATGCAGCTGATGATCCAGTGGCTTGGATTTCAAAGGAAGCCTAAAAACCCCTCAGTAATACTAGAGAGAACTTCAGAGAGTTTGTGGAAAAATTGAATGAAAAGAAAATGGAATTTTTCCACAAACTTTTGAAGCCCCGTTGTATAGGTGAGCGGCCCATTGATTCATCTCTTAGCCCTTTTGCTCCAACTTCCCACACTGATTAAAAGTAGCTGAGCCAGACAGAAAGCAGGGAAACAGATCTGGATTCAGAGGCTTAGGGCAGGGAAAAGGCCAGTCACACAGTTCTTGTAGAACAAAAATAATTTATAAACCTGATCATTCCCAAGCTGAGATGGTTTGATTTTATTTTGGAAATTGTTCACTAAGCATGACTGTGTAGAATATGTTGAGTACTATAAAGCACCAAACGAGCTACCTCCTCCCACCCCTCTTTCCCGGCTGCTTCACATGGAGCGTGTCCCCTCCAGTGGTCCAAGAGACTGGTTGCAACATTCATCCAGGAGAGCCTGGAGAACTTCTGCAGACACACATGCTACCAATGCTATCTGTGAGGACTGGCTGTGGCACGTGGTGTCCTATCTCATATGCTGGTGGCATATTTTGGCTTGTGTGAGGAAGGATGCCTCTGGGCTTACCAGTCACTCTTCCAACGTTTGAGGAAAGCCACTCTGTTTCCTCCAGGGTGGCACTGAGCCTCCACAGGACAGGAACTCTGCTGCCTTACTTTCTGTGACAGCAGAAGAGAAAAGCTTCCCTTCACAGAAAGGTCCCGAGGCGTCGCTTCAGAACCTGTACCCAGATGGCATCGCCGAGACGTTGAAACTCCTTGGAGATTTGACCTCTTCATTTTTGCCTGTGAAAATCTGTGAAATGGGTGGGATTCCCAGCATATCTGCAGAGGGGCCACCCCAACAGCTGTAGCATGTACGGTTTACAGTGTGAAACAGAGTGCAGACTGCCCTTCACAAACTGCTAGTTTCCCTCTGGTTGTTGTTAAGTGCCGTCAAGTCAGCTCTAACCCCCAGCAACCCTATGCAGGGTTCCCCAGGAGCGACTGGTGGCTCTGAACCACCGACCTTGCGGTTCAAACTGACCTTGCAGTCCAGCACATCATCCTGCAAGCATCATGGTTGTTGTTAAATAACATCAAGTCGGTTTCCAAGGAGCGGCTGGTGGGTTTGAGCCAAAACCCAAATGGTTAGCAGTCCGATGTTTATCCTACAGCACCACACCAGGACTCCAGTTTTACCCTGGAGTCGAAGCAATGTAAAGGTGATTTTTTTTCATTTCTAAAATGTACTATGGTCAGCCTAAAGCAAATTCTTTGCATTTGTGCATGAAAGACTTCCAGGCAAGTTACATAAGACTGCTATTTAAAATTAATTTTTTGGTATGGGGGAAGGGGGTATTGTGGGTGGGAGAAAGAAGGAAGGCTTCATTTGATGAATGTTATATTCAGTTCTTTGCAGTTTTACATGGTAACCCCTTTACTTTGCATCCAGGAAACTCGGATGCTCCCCTAAAATACTCACCAACACTTAAGGCAGGTTCTACTCTGCAAGCTGCATTTGCAGACACTGAAATCATTCACGGGATCATTCTAACTAGTAGCATTTTCATGGACGTTGAGTCATCTCACTGCAATTCTGTGGCTCTAGAATATGATAGGACTCTGCAGTTGGGTCTTCATCCGGATGTTGCATTCTTGCTGCATCAAAGAAGGCCAGGAAGAGATGAACAATCTGTTGTTTCATACAAGATGACTGTGGTCTTTGGATCCTAACGTTGAATTGTTCTGGGTCAGAAACTTTATGCTGGAATCATCTGAAAATGTGGCTTTAGCACTTGGCGTGGTGCTGTGTTGGTACAGATGACGCTTGTTACTCCGGGGATAATTGCAGAGCTCACTGAGTGAAACAAAGCCACTTTACTTACTTTTACAAACAGTGCTCGAATCCCCTGACCCCAGACTTATTTTAAATCTGCCCCCAAGATTGTCTTTCTGAAATAAGTTCAGGGAAGTTTCTTCATGGGGTGGGGACACAATCTGAGCAACATCATCTGTGTGGTTTTACGCAAATAACTGCAATAAGTTTTTGGGCAACCCCCTCGCACATTGTTACTTTTGTAGATGGAGATTATGTGTGCGGAAGCATTCAATGCAAACACCTGGTACAGTGCCTGGGCTAACCCACTCTAGGAGAGTGAGACTAAGGGTGCATTCCTTTTCAAAAGGTAAATGTAAACTAGTAGCACTGAGCATAAATACTGGCGAGAAAAAACCACTCTGACTAGACCTCAGCTTGTCAGCCATCTTTTGCCCCAAAGACGGCAGCAAGTCCCAGAGCAAATTCCATCCATTTGTTTCTTCATTTAAAAAGGAAGATTACTCTGAGGCCCTTCAGAGCCCATGCATGATTCTAAATCCTCCTCTGTCCCTTGGTTATGGCCAAACAGGCGAAAAGTTCAATCCTTCCCTAGAGGACTGCGGGAAGTGGAGTTCTACTAAAAGAATGAGGTGTTTCCACAAGTTGAGAAACATGCCCGTATCACTTTACATCATTAGCACAGTGCTTAACACCCAAAGACTTCAGTGCTAACTGAAAAAGAAGGAACACAAACTAATTGCTGGAGCAGATCAGAGCCCAGGAAAGACCTAGGAGTCAAGAAGAGCAAAGGGAAAATTGGGGGGAATCAGGCCAATGAAGAGGGCTTGACCGGTGACTTATCACACACAGCCTGAGGGTCCTCCAACAGCATTTCCCAGGAATTCTGCCTTGTGAAAGACCAGGCCTTAGCTGTATCCAGGCCCACGCACATATTCTAAGGGATTAGTTGATGTTCACGCAGAAGCTACAGAGCGCCCCCCTCCCCCAAAAAAAAACCCATCTGCAGGAAGCACAGCAGTCAAAAAGCCACGTCACACCTCCCCGCCTCCACCCCACCTGCCCTCAGGAGACAAATTAACTCCTTTCAAAATGCATACCTCAGTCAAACCGCTTTGTTGCATTGGTTTCCATGCTGCAGAAAATCAACACCAACTGGC